AAAACTCAAAATTGTAAAACACCATGTGAGTTATGTACAACCGTGGTATACGTTGAAAGGTATGAGAAAATGGTGGTAGAGAGGAAAAAAAAAAACCAGCTTTTACTGAGGAACATTTTGCCATAAAGAAAGAAATGGATTCTTCATTGTAAAGAAAAATCAGTAAGTAAATATTGGATGATTTTATGCAGAAGAATGCCTGATCACTTTATACGTTAGCAAAAAATATTTTGGCAATTTCCTGCAGCAATACGTTAGAGACAGGCTATGTTTGGAGGTAACTAACATCTATTAGAACCTAATAAAGAATGATATTCTCAGAAATGAAAAGATGCCGTGCTGCTTCTAATATTGAAAGCCATTAAACAGAAAAATGAATACTTTCAGGTAAAGAAAAAAACAAACCAGAGAAACTATGACTCCAAGACATTGAAACTATCCAAGGAGCAGAGTGAGGCTCCAAAACATTCAGAGGCCGACACAACCCTGACTCAGAGCCATCCCCAGACTCCTCAGATGCCTCCAGCAGCCCCACCCAGCACTTTCTTACTTAAGGTACATTCCTCCTGTCTCCCAACTGTAAATACAGGGATCATCAGAATGTTGAAAGAGCTTCTCCTCTCATCCCTAGCTGTGTATAATCTCTGTATGCAATTAGATCGCTAATACATTTATCGAATACATACACTGAAATCTTACCAGGTCATAGTCCTTTGCTATTTAAAAGATGTGCATTTATGAAATGATTGCTGCCTCAAGAGGGTTACTGTCTCCTGTCGGTGCAGCTATGAAGAAGGGGAGGGGAAGAGGTCAGGCAAAGGTAGAGGAAAACTAGAGTGTATTGAGACTTTGCATTCCAGTTTCTTTCACCCCTTTTTCCTTTGCTTATAGATAATACCTCTTAATTTATTTCTAACCTCCCAAATTCCTTCCTACATTACAAATCTTCACATAAGCTATTTCCTTGTTGGGTATCTATTCCCTTCATCTCCTCATTGGCACAACTTTCCTCAAATTTCAGGTGCCAAGTAAAGTTTTTCTTCTGGCAAGTTCTCCCTGAGACAGGACTACCGGAACTGATGAGCCCTCCCATGCTTTCCTTTCACAGGTCCTCTTGTCAATAAGGATAAACTACTCATTTGACAGACGTGAATAGAGAGGCTTATTTGAAAAGGTGGCTCTCGTACTACTTTCATCTGGGGTTTCCCTTAATAGAGTTAGCACAGTGCAGGATATATCTGTGGACAAGGGCAAACCTATATATCCCAGCATGGAACATGGAGCAGCAATAACAGTAATTATATTTCTACTTTTTAAGCATCTACTATGTGCTTGTTCTAAAATATGTGCTCCTTCTGTACATTCTCTCATCATTCTTAATAATAGTCAGAAGGATGATATTCTCTGTCCCAATGTATATGAAATAATGTTGAGATGGACAGAGGTTAAAAATCTTCCCAATTTCTCAAAATTAGCATTAGAGTCAGGATTCATATCCAGTCCTATTGAAATATAAAACTTCAAAAATTAATGATTATGTATGGCTTTAGATTAGGAGTTTAGATATACCAATGTCAGTAATTTATTCATCTAAATTTCAGAATTGAAAGTGTCATGTTTTGAGTTTGTTTGCATTGCGCAGTCTCTGCAAGCCTTTTCCCAAGGAATGAGGTGCTCAGATGTTGTTCTAAGAAGGAAGCCACTCTCCAGAAGTAGAATCCGCCCATCCTCCTCTCAAATGAAAAGTGTATTTTATTTATCAGATAACTTGATGCCAGAAGTGGTAAAAATTAGATTCATTACCCTAATATTAATGAATGGCAAACATGGTAAAGTTTAATGAAAGTAAAAGTAGCAAATCATATGATTAAAGATCCACTTCCTTGACCTGGGAAAAGGTATAAAATCCACTGACGGGAAATGTCCAGATGGACTCTTGAATATTTATTACTATTGTTGATAACCCTAAAAGATTCTAGTTGACATAGGCAGACTACAAAGCAGCAGAATTCTGCATCTGGAAGTGTGCATTTGAAAGAGTCCTTCTAGCCTGGCGATGATCAAAACACGTAAAGCAAAGTAGTGCTGGGTTTCCTGGAGCCAGAACAGCAGATGACAGAAACCCATGCATGTATTTCCTTGATGAGAAGGGCTTAGTATTAATCAATAAACACCCATCAGTGCAACCAACTTTTTTTGAGACTTTCTTCTTAATATTTGGATAAATTTATCTACCAAAACATGACCCAAAGAACTGTGCCTGACTAAGTCAGCTTAAACCAGCTTTCAGCACAGGGA